ACCCTACCTGCACCCCAAGCCCTGCGTGTGTGGGTGGGTGTGGTAGAGCGGGAATAGGGAGGCAGCTGAGGATGGAGAGGGAAGAAAGGGAGGGGCAAGCGGCCCCTCCCTGGGGCCAGCTCCCCCGCTGACCCCAGTAGGCACCCCACACTCTGGAACCCACCAGGGCAAGGGGGCCCAGGCCCATCCGGACCGAGGGCCCGCAGCAGCAGCAACGCCCAGCCCCACAGAGTCTGAGGCAGCCCACCTGACTCCACCCCAGAGAAGACTGCACCCACCCAATCATCCAATCATCTCCCAAACTACACAAGACAATAGACACCCAGGTTGAGTTCATTCTCCACCTCTCCTAAATCTCTACCCCCACCTGCAGAGTAAGCTCCTGTAGTGAGGAGACCACCTGCAAAGATATAACAACCTCCCCACCAGTTAGAGAGCCCCCTAGTTGGGCCGATGAACCAGAGGTCCCCTGCACTGGGGCTGAGCCCACCTGCACCCACCCGCCCACTGCTCCGGCGACACAACAGCCAGGACCCAAGCCCCCAAGGCCCGGCCAGCACCCCAGACCGGGGGGCGGAGCACCTACAGACCCCCAAGCCTCCACGCCCGTCCCGGATCCTCCCAGGCTACCAGGCCAGTAACCAATGTCCGCCAGCACAGACCCTCCCCCATCTCCGCTGTATGCCTGCTGGGCTTTAAAATTACCGAGATCCTTTAAGACCGGTTACCCTTTAGTACTCACAGTAGGGTTCACTTTCAGGTTGGTTTCTGTCAATAAAGGAGGAGCACAGTTTTAATTGAAATCAGTTAAAGGTCCATCTGAGTTGATTAATAAGTTGAAGATGATGATTAGGAAATAAACAGTTTTTGTAGTTTTAGTACATCACCACTGTAGATTAAAAATCACATAATCAATGTATGATTCAAGCGCAGACTTTGTCTTTAATGGGAAGGGATTTATTAAAAAAGTTACCTTACCTTTCACTAATAGTCCTTGGATAAACTGAAATCATCTTATATGCAAAGAATATCTGTGGTGCTTTTCCATGTATCTGCTGACTTAATGAAGGCCCAGTTTAGATAACCACATATTTTAAGTGCTGTCTTATGCCAGTGGGTGGTGGGGGTCAAAGAGTAGCTACTGGTCTGTGTGTGTTGTTTTCTTTAACATTTGGGCTTCAATCCTCCAGAATGAGCACAGCACAGTACAGGAATAATAACCTGTTGTCTTTGGTGTCCTCCCCTGGTGAACTTGATGTATCCATCCAGTGTGTTGATGTGTTTGGTTAAAGCCTCTGCTTCTTCAGTTTTGATTTTAAATCATCTACATGTCTAAACCAGTGGCTATACAGTGGGGCAAAAAAGTATTTAGTCAGCCACCGATTGTGCAAGTTCCCCCACTTAAAATGATGACAGAGGTCAGTAATTTGCACCAGAGGTACACT